TGAAAATAGCTGAAATAGTAGATGTAATATCATGCAGTGTCGCTTCACAAGAAAGTGGGAAATTTGAAGCAAATTATACTTTTAAGTGGCATGAACTTGGGGATTAGCATTTATAAGTACTTAAATCATACTTGTACTTTCTGCATTTATATAGATATGGCTAGATTAAGGTTATTTCTGTATAAATCAGGGCATAGGTAGCCTCTCTTCTTTTGAGTGCCTGTCCAAGGACAAACACAATGTTGGCTTTTGTGCTTCTGGCCTGCACCAATGGCAGAAGCAAAAATAACAAAAGCACTTTATTCAAAGCATTGGACAGGTGAACTAATGAATCCTCACAATCTCCCCAGCAAGCTAGTAGGTAAGGTAGCACTAATTGTATTTTATAGAAGAAGAAATCTGAAAGCTGAACTGACTTCCTGAGGCCTGGCAGTGATTGAGCAGGATTAGCATACATAGCCACTTAATTTTTTGTGCCCATGTGAATTCTGCCAGACCACATGGCCTAAGAACTATACACTCTGTAGAGAACTCTGCCCCTTTCCAAACTGGCTGCCAGGAGGGAATGAACACGGCACCTTTTTTGAGACATCACAGCTCCTGTTCTGGCTGATTCAGCTCAAATTTTTCCTGAGACCACGCAACTTCTGCTCCCTTCCTTCCAGCATGGGGCTATAGCTGTAAAAGCCTCAACAGAGCCCACAGGACTTAAATAATTTTTAAATCATGTTGTTAAATCACAAACATTTGCAAACCACCAGCGATCATATAACATTATCAAAGATTTTCCACCTTCAGCAACATACCACTCTTTACAAAAAACCCAACAATTTCCAGTAATTCTGCTGACCTAGCTCTTGGTGTTTACATAGTGTAGAAATATATGTCTTGGCACGTAGACACTGTGCTTTTTTTTTTTTTTTTTTTTTTAATGGAAACCAATGACCACAGTTTCCAGCCCCAACTATTAAAATGAACAGAAAGATGGACTATAAAATGCAATTGTTTAAAAATTAGGGTTGTGGCCTTAGCTCAGCTTCAATGTATTGACTGAACATACGTGAACCAAGTAGCTTAAAGCCAGGATAAGTCCCATATTTATCTGCAGCCAGAGTATGTTACAAATGATACAGTAATTGTAAATCATTTTCTCACTTGTGGCCCACGATCTCCTGGTTTCCCTGGTTTTCCACTTGGACCTGCTACTCCTGGAACTCCTGGGGCACCCTAAAACAGAAAGTCAGACAAAGGAAGGCTAAGACAGAAGGTTAGAGTCTAAGTGCAACTGGTGCAGAAATCAGCCACCATGGGTACTTCTATGCTGCACAAAACAAACAAAACCCTGTGGCAGCAAGTCTCAGAGCTTGGGTCAACTGACTTGGGCTCTTGGGGTGAGTCTCTGAGCCCAAGCAGGAATATCTACACTGCTATTTTTCACACTGTAACGCGAGGCGTGAGAGCCCCGGTCATATTACAGCAGGTTGTTGTTTGCAAGGTAGACATACCCATTGCACATAAGTGGACAGTGACATTTAAAAGAAAATTATTCTTATTCCTAACATAGAGTCAGAATTTCAATGGCATTTAGGTGCTTACAGATGCAGATAGGCACCTACTAGGATTTTCAAAAGTACTAAGGTGCCATAGGGTTTTTTTTTTTTTATTCAAGGGTTTCCTGAATAGTGATCATATGATTTGGCCTAATAGTAGTTCTCTAATTTGTGCAGAAGTCATGACCAGGGGCCCACAGCATTAACCTAAGTGATTTTAGACCAGGAGCCCAAGTGTAGACCAGCACATTGTGCAACACAGTCACTAATACATGCAATAAAGTTCAATATTTTTAACTTATCATGACTACTCAAATATTCTACTTGTCCTGAAGTGTTAATTTGTCATAATTACTTGATCTATAATTACATGATCCACTTCCTCTATATTATTTTCTAATCCAACAATAATTAAGAAATAAGTAAGCTAACGAAAGCCAGTTGAGTAACACCACTGTGAAAACAGAATCAAGCCCTACTAGTGTGTCTGTTTCATTTTTAAAAATATAATTTGCATGTTGGAAATAATTCCCTGTTTTCCTCTTTCCAAGAGTTTTCAACATCATAATTTTCATTTGATTTTTTTTCTAATATGATAAAGGATTCGTTTGATAGAATTCAAAACCAGCATAGTGGAGTTCTCTCACTTTTGGGTTGTAACTTTTGGTTCATTCTATGCTGAAGCTTTATATTTACCGCTGATCCAGGTGGGCCTCTGGGTCCTGTGGCACCATCTTTTCCCGTGAAACCCTATTCCAAAAATGAAAATATTTACAGATTATTAAACACAGGCCTAAGGCTTCAGCAATCTTTATTTAAAATTAGTGACCCTTAAAGCTATGTATAATGGCACTATTCATAATTAATGATAATATATATGTCAAGCCCAATAATTTAATGTGTCAGTTATTTAAATCTGCACCACTGGTAATGCCAGTTAAATATGTAATTGGCACGGCTTTACCCAAATTGAGAGAGCCTCAGGCTGCTTAGGGTGGAGTGTCTGTCTCTCAAAAGCAGCAATATAATGATTAAAAATCTGTGACCTCCTTCGCAGAGGTGGAAATAGAGGCTCAGCCCAAAGTGACTGATGAGCTCAGTCATAAAAAAGAAAGGGACCTAGTAGCACACAGATTCTTCCTTCTTGGTGTTCTCCCCAAGCACTAGGCAATGGGTGAATGGGAATGTCCTACTTGGATAAGTTAAGAAACTCTGAAACCTATCTCTACTGATCAGAGGCAGGATCCACCAAACTGTTTTATCCCCTGCAAGGAGAAGAACTCATACCCATTCCCTGTTGTCTTCTTCTATTATCAGCCTATTGTGGTGCCTAGTCTCTTTTCTACCTTTGGAACCATTAGCTCTTCCTTCATTGGGAGTTTTGCATTCATGAGATCTTTTTCCTATAGCAGCTCTCGCAACACAACAAAACAATAGGAAAGTGTAAACACTGAGAGGATTAAGCAAAGAACAAGAAGCTTCTGGGTGCTGTTGGAAGCAGTTTCTGGGTGGTGTTGAGAAGTCCCACCTAAACAGCCTTACAGCAGTTCTCTTACGGGTATTAAGAGATACTAATTGTCTAAGAGAATACTAAGCTCCTTGAAGACCTGGCTGGTCACATGGTGCCTGTTCTCCCTGTTGATGGCTACCAAACCCCATTAAGGATCAGCTAGAAAAATGCATCAAATACCAAACATTTTATAAATACCTGCTTTTTGTATGTAGGCAGTTGCTCTAATTGCCATGGGGACTTAGCCATTGTGAAAAGGGATGAGAATTAAGCTTTGTCTACACTATCAAGTTTTTTCATCAAAAACTGCCTTTTGGTGACAAAACAGTAAGAGCATTCACCCTGCAATGTGACTTTTGTTGGGGAAAAAAACCAGTTTTGGCAACAAAAAACTTCCACCCCTGTGAAAGACTTTTGTCTTTCCCCCACCATTCATTATCAACAAAGAGCCAGTGTAGACTCTGCTGTTTGTTTTGTTGTCAGAACTGGCTTCCACCGGTATCCCACAATGCCTGCCTTGATGACTTTTCTCAGTGTTTTGATCTCTGCTGTCCTGTACGTATGCGCCCCTCCCCTTTCAAAGCTCTGGGAAATATCTGGCAGCTGAGTGAGCTGTTCCATTTGGGAAACAAACAAAGAACAAATCATTGGAATGCTCCTGGTCTGTCCTGTACTAGGAACACAGCAGTAGGCACACAGCTGCTGCGGGAGGAGGGCTGGAGAGACCGCTGTGGTGCTTTGGCATTCCTCAGCCCAGAAAGCTCACAAAGCTAGGCATGATGCTGTGGGAGAACTTGGGAGGGAATCCCAAGAAGTGGGATCAGCTCTGCCTTCCCACATCACTGCACTGTGGGATGCTTACCCACATAGCTTTGCTCTATCTGTGGACAGTGTGCTAACTTTGTGGCCATGAAATGTCAACTATGGGAGGCAGAAAAACTGGTTTGACCAGTTTTTCCTTTTGGCAATTTTTGCATGTCGACCGCATTTTTGTTGTCAAACCTTCCCAGAACAGACATAGCCTAAGGGTACGTCTAGACTACATGCCTCTGGCGACAGAGGCATGTAGATTAGGCTACCCGACACAGTAAAATCAGCTGTTTGTCAGCTCAGCTGTTTGTCAGCTGATCAGCTGTTTGTCGGCTCAGCGCAGCAGCCATGTAAATGTAAATGAAGCGGCGATTATTTAAATCGCCGCTTCATTTTACTGTGTCGGGTAGCCTAATCTACATGCCTCTGTCGCCAGAGGCATGTAGTCTAGACGTACCCTAAGACTGCATGACTGCAAACAGGAAGGAAGGGATTGCAACAAGTTAACAAGACAATCTCTTTATCTCAATAGAGTCTTTGCTGGGAAGAAATCTGAGAATCCCTGATTTAAAGTAAAGCTGTTAACTCCCAGCGACCAGAGGTCAAGTATAAAGGGATAAATCCTATCTTCACAGTGAATTTTGCACAAGTACATGCTAGTGTTGTGGACATGTCAATTCATATGGGTTCCCTAACAATAGGAGACAGAATGTGGGAGGGGACCAGAATATCAGCAGGGTCAGAAGAACCCTGCTCAGTAGTGTCTGAGGGCCCAATCCAGTCAGTCAAAAGTAGCCTATGCAAAAGTTATGTATCTGCTTTAAGGCCCAATGAGGAAATTTTTCCTCCCCACAATCTTCTTGGTCCCCACTAGTCATCTTTTTTGAGTCTCATTGGACTCTGGGTAGAGGACTTGATCCTAAAAAAGGAAGAAGCTGAAAAATAGAAAGCAATGCTGGAGTTCCATGTGCTATAAAACGGAGCATAGTTTGTGCCGTTAACACTGTAGACAGAAGAGACCTTACCCTGTCACCTGGTGGTCCCACTGGGCCAGGTGGGCCAGGCAAACCTGGGGTTCCCTATAGAAAAAACAAAATAAGGAATTCAGCTAAGATAAAACAAGTTCTTTTGCTATACTAAATACATATATATTTGTATATATACATACACACATGTGTTTTAACTTCCAAACTATTTTGATATGGCTTTTTGTCAACATATAAAAATAAAATGAATCCTTTTGGCAGAGATCAGCTGTATTTTAACAATGCAATGCACTTTATTATTTACCACATTTTTTCACACTTCCCTTGAAAAAACATTCTTTACATTTTCAGTCCTGTTACCAGAATATGCATTTTTATAGCCTTTTTCAGTCATAGCTTACAAATGTTGGCTAGTTATTAAACATTTGGTATTAAACCAGGGGTGGGCAAAATAAGGCCAAAACATTTCTCTCTGGCCCACCGAGCTGCTCAGCAGAGCATACACATTTACAGCTGGCAGCGTGTGTTCTGTAGCCGAGCTGCTCCCAGGATTCGCCTGCTAGCTGTGCAGAGTGGGGGAGGTGAGTGGGGACAGGAAGGGAGTGCTGAAATCAGAGTGTGCCCCTGCCTCTGTACCCCATCTCTGCAGAGCATGGGTCAGAGAGAGGGAGACAGAGTCAGCAGAGCTGCTCCAATATGAAGCAGGTTGGTAAGTGACTCAGAGATGTGCAAAGCAGGGGAGAGGGAGACAACAAAGCAGGACAGATTTCCCTTAGAGACCATGTGGTTTCTCTCAGAAACTCACACAACAGCAGCCAGCACACACACGCCCAGTCTGTGCCACATGCACACTGCACATACACGCTCAATCTGTCTCTACACACAGTGTCTCTTTCACAATCTCACACTCTGTATCTCATTGTAGCCCACAGCCCCACTCCTTCTGCAAGAGGCCCTACTCCCTTTGGGGGGCCCAGAGCTGGCTCACAACCACATACCAAAATTTGTGAATGTTGCCCACCCCTGTATTAAACTCTGGTTACAAGATAATCTTCTGTCAATTCAGTGGTTGTGAAGAGCATGAGTTACAGCTTCTTTTATTTAACCCCTTTTCCCATTCATGCTAGTCTCCTCCTGTTCTATTTTATAATGAGCTTCTGCCATATCCAGTACATGTCATGCTCTTTCTTTCTTAGTATTGTATTTTCTGTGTCAAGAAGAAACACTGAAGGTGGTTACAGAAAACTTCATGAGAAGTGAGGACACTCCACACCTGCCAGGGCCTCAGCACTTGACAGGATCAGGCCCAGAATTACAAAAATTAGATTTGTCTTCTTCCCCATTTCAGGCATTTTCTATTGCTTGAGTGTAATACAAATAGTATAGAAAATAAAGTCTCTACGTGGCATACCAACCTCAAATTACACAAAGGATTTCTATTTATGTAAATACACGGGCAAATTGAAGCCCAAATAGCAACAATATACATCTGACCCACAGCTGTCAAAAAAATCATAGAGCCAAAATTCCCCCTGAAAACAAATTCCTAAAAAAGACAATAGGAGTGTTCTTGATATTTGATTATTCTATACATTCTTAGCTGTTCTCTTCAAAACCCAATCCCATTTTCAACTTGGAATCACTGCCATATGTACAACTACAAACAAGCTCAATTTAACATGTATTTCTCTATTTACTTATTTTGTCTAATTCACATTTTTATACAGTTTTATATTTGCTATATTTCAGATTGCTAATGTTATCCAGCACATGTCCTACGAAATATGTAAGGAGCACAAAATTTCTACAACACTCAAGAGTTGCATTAAAAGTGTCCATGCATCACTGTGGCATAAATAACATAAAAAAATAACTTACTGATCGCCCTGGTAGCCCTGGTTCTCCAGCATCACCTTTCATTCCTTGGCGACCCTATAATCATCACAATTGTCATTAGGAGCACAATTACATAACTCAGAATTGACATTACAATGTTTAGTTACCGAAACAATTTCATTAATGACAAGTTCCAAGCAATAAGTTTCTTCAGTGTTTTCATACTTCATCTTTCAAATTGCCTGGGACAAAACATTTATCACATTCCACAAACACAAGGAATGCATTTAGCCTTCCATGCTGCTTGGCATCCACAGGCCATCCTGATGAAGATTTTCCTTCAAGCATACACAAAAAATCCTATATTGACCTCCAAACTCTTCCATTTGGTCCTTTCCTAAAGGGAATGTGGATCTAATTTGTGCCATCCTGTGTTTTTGGTTTTCTGTTTTGAATTAGGCCACTTGTAAATCTATCAGACAGAAAAGATGAATTGCCTAATGAATGTAACGTGTGTTTTCCCATTAGAAGCCAATTTTACTAATTATTCCTAATCAGGAATATTCACTTAGTCATACAGCTTGTTGCAACATTCCATAAATCCCTAATATACTTCCATAAAAACCAGCAAGTTAAGACAGAAAAAGATCTTCTCTGGCAGACTACATGCAGAAGTGACCAAGGGTAGACGATAGGGGTATCAGGACGCTATGTGGTCATTTAGGGCTGCATTCTGCACTCAGAACAGTGTGAATCTTGGGAAAGTCCACTGATATTAGAGTTACTTTAGATGTTCATTCATGCAAACTAAATCAGAGGTTGGCTCTTATTAATTCATACAGTGGTGTCAGCATGCACAACTGTATACAAGGTAGGAACAGCACCACCAACCCACCAAAAGAACACAAGGCCAAGCTTTCAAACACTGATGCCCCAATTTAAGCACCCATTACCTGCTTTACACTGGTGATTTAGTTACCTAAAGGAAGAAGTTAGGTGCCTAAATCAGCATAGAAGTGCACAAATCTGTGGAAATGCTTACCTATGACTTCAGGTGTTTAATTCTCAACATCCAACTTTGAAAATTTGAGTGTCAAGGTACAGCTACATTGCAGGCTTATTTCAAAATAAGCTATTCTGGAAGAAATACTCTGAAATAGCTTATTTCAAAATAGCACGTCTATACTGTAGGGAAGCCTCAAAATTAGTCTGAGGCAGGCTTCCCTAATGTGGACATGCTACCTCAATTTAGAGCCCCAGGAGGCACTGGGGAGTAATTACTCTGAATGGCCTTGGGGAGGACCTATTTCAAAATAACAGCAGTGGAGCATTCACACTACTGCTATTCCAAAATAGCTATTTCGGAACAGGCGTTATTCCTCATGGAACGAGGTTTACAGAAGTCTGAATAAGCTGTCCATTATTTCGAATTTATTTCAAAATAATGGAATTGCTGTGTAGAAGCTTGCATTGTTCTTTCAGAATAACGGCCGTTATTCCAAAATAATGCTTCTGTGTAGACGCAACCTTAGAGTGTGAAGGTATAGAAAAGCAGTAAGATAAAGCAACGCAACACATCTCACACCACTTCACTTATAATCCCCAAGACAGTTGTACCTGTAACACTCAGGATAAGACAATGTGATATGTTAAAGGCAATCAATTTCAAACATTACCGAGCATCAGGGCAAGAAAAAAAAAAACCATGATGGTCAGAGGGTTCTGGAGACCACTGCCATGATGTAACAGTTCTCTGCCTCTACACAGTTTCACACACAAATATAGAATGGTTACTCACTGGTTCTCCTGGAATTGAAAGTCCATTGATCCCTTGTGGGCCTGGTGGACCCTGAGGACCCGGTGGACCTGCATCACCCGGAAGACCAGGTGGCCCCTTAAAACAACAAAATTAAAAGATATTTAGAACATGGTTTCTTCCTAGAATTGCATCTAGAGCATTCATACGGACATGGGCCAGGCCATCAGCACAGGAATAATGGATACTTGAATAACATTTGAACTTGCAAATCTTTATTCAAGCAGTACTTCCGCCATTATCCACGGAAGAGCTGATCCTGCCCCCCTAGAAACGAACTGCAGGCTCAAGCCAAGAAACAAGACACATTAGGCAACATTAATAGAGATGGGATATCCACTATTTTTGGAGGGGAGTGTGCCTCAGAGAGTGTCTCCCTGCCTCCCCTCACCCTCTAGTGCCTTCCCAGAGAAGGGGAACCATGAGGCAGAGTTGGCATTCCCAACCTTCCATGTCTCCTACTACTGATACACATGATCTGGCTCCCCTATGCAAGAAGCAGAGCACAATGGGATCCTAGGAAATATAGACAAGATACACATCCTGTTTCCCAACATTTTTCTATACAAATAACATGCAGACTTATCCTTAATCAGAAAACATTTAAATTTTGATACTTTGTGATATTAGTTTACTGTGGACTTTAACATCCAAAATTTAATGCGGTGAGCATATAAACTTATAAATGCATTCCAGAGAGACACTTACGGAAGGTCCAGTCAAACCTCTTTCACCTCTAGGCCCTTTAGTGCCTGGACCACCCTAAAACAGACATTTGAAAAGAAAGATGAATGTACACAGTGGGGGAAGGAGAGTAAAGATGCAAAATATCCATCTTCACAATAAAACTGACTTGTTGAGTCAAGGTTTCAAGCAAGAACAAAACTTTGATATGAACAGATCTTGACATGGCTGGTATTCAAAGGAGCACTAAAACAGGAGTAAGAGCTGCATCAGATCCCAAGTAAATCAAATCAGCAACAACCTCACTAATCTAGAAGACCCATGTTGATGCTCAGGAAACAGGGAATTTATGCTCTCCAAGCAGCTTTCGGTGGATTATTCACTCCATTAGTCTCCATACAGAGATCACAGAAATATTAGTGACTGGGGTTTGTAGCAGCCCCTGAGAACCAGCTTCTGAAGGATTGAGAAGAACTAACAGGGGTCAAATAGGCAAAGAAGGTTGGGAGTAGGAGAGGATCTCAGTGTTGCCTTCAAAGTACTATACTATTTGGAGAAATGGCCCATATGCCTATTGCAACTGACAGCTCAGTCTGAAGCTGTTTATTATCTGGGATTACTATTTGGATCCCTCGAGCTCTCTGAAACTCAAGGTACAGAGGTGGAAATGTTCTGAGCATATCTCCAGGCCTCTCTGGCAGCCTCTGCAAACAGTACTGGAATTTACCGGAGTATAAGTACAATCACTCCAGGGCAGCCGGAAGGTTTGCACCCCACTTAGGAAACCAGGTTGCCCTCTGTGATTGTGAAATCAGGTTGAGTCATAAAACTCCATCCAGCTCTACTCATTTCATGTTTTGGTACTTTCGAGAGGTCTTTGAAAGACTGTTTGAAAGGGCCCACATTTCTGCAGATACCTAAGCCAGTCTTAAGGGAACTATCAACACTCCAGGGCAGCCGGAAGGTTTGCACCCCACTTAGGAAACCAGGTTGCCCTCTGTGATTGTGAAATCAGGTTGAGTCATAAAACTCCATCCAGCTCTACTCATTTCATGTTTTGGTACTTTCGAGAGGTCTTTGAAAGACTGTTTGAAAGGGCCCACATTTCTGCAGATACCTAAGCCAGTCTTAAGGGAACTATCAAAAAACACCATCAGAGTTCTCTGGAAAAAACATCGGTAAAATAAAAGAAGGGAGCTCAGCATGTAAATTTACCACAGTGCCGGCTCAACTCCCATATGGTTAGGAATCAATATGATAATCCAGGCTTTTCTTGTACCCATTAAGAAATCAATTGTACTACATAGTGGACCTTGAACTCCATTTATAGGGAAAGGGTATTGTTTAATACATTGCACAGAAAAACTTCTATGTCTAGTTAGAATGAATCTTATATTCTTATTTGAAAGTAATGGCATAACTGACTGGAGCTGTACAGCCTGTTCTGGCTTTGTAGATACAAAGGCTATAAGTGCCTTCCTTAAACACAGCCATGTAATACTTCTATTAGATCACTCAGCTCCATCCCTCCAGAGCCCTGGGATGGAGTCTGGCAGCACTGAACTCCTTGAAGTCAATTGGATGGGTTCTCTCTAGCCAATGGATGAGAAACTGGGAGGATCTTAGAGGGCTGTGAGTTCCTTCAAAATGAATGTCTTGCTCCATATGCAATCATATTGACCTCAGGGAGACTACTTAAGAACTAGGATACTATACAGAATAGGAAAAGGTGGCAAAGTCTGACATGTTTTAAACCACAAAAAAAGGAGCTGATAAATAGTGTCATGAATCTGGTGATCCCAACTTTCTTCCTTGTTGATATTTCTACATTTCACAAAACCACCACGCAGTATGGCACTCGGGGGCACAGCTGGCTTTTCTATGTCATAAAGAAACACCGGGAGATCAAATGTAAGCATTCTGTGCACTTTAACAGAGCTCTATGGAACTGCTTATTTGATTTCTGCCATTACTCTTTACTCTCAAAATAAGGACATTTTGAGAAAAACTTCCTTTAAGTTTAAAAAAAACCCAGACAATTGCTCTGTATTAATAAATCCTTACAGAAGGTCCAGGAGGTCCCGGGGGTCCCACGCTGTCTTGTGTACATGTACATGCATTTGGGAGAGCTGGGCATTTTGCTTCATCCCTCTGAAAATTCAAGCACAATCATTTCACTCTCTTTAAAAGGAATGTATTAAAAGCTGGTGGTGTTTTTCCCCACAACAAAAATAAAAACAATGTCCATTACCCAAGAAAAAACTCTTTTTGAATTATATCAAAATTCAAGAGAAAAAAAAGTAATTTGCAAGATTTCCTACTGTTTTTTTAAAATTTGTTCTTAGTTTATTTCCTCTAGGATTTTCTTAAGGCAATGGAATATTTACAATAGCAGAGAGGCAGGAACAAACATTGGTGCACAATCTTACTTGTGTTCTATATGCTCTAATTCAAAATCCACTACTATTCCCTCACCAAGATAGAAATTATTGCTTTGGAGAATCAACAAACACAGTCAAAAATAAATGGGATTTTTTTAAAGCTCAATCATACAACTGATTTAACACAAATGAATGTGGGCATAATATACATAAGAGCAAGGAAGTTAATTTTTATTTAAAAATCGAATATATTTTTGACACTGTGTGATAATTGTCTCTCATCATTCTTGAGCCAAATTATTTCAGAACATTCTGACCCTATTTTTTTCCCACAGAAGACTTTGAAATATGGAGCTTGGCATTGCCAGCTTTGACAGTTGTGATTTAGACAGACTGTTGGTATGAAGCATAATAGCTGGTTAATATGAAAGTTGTCAAGTCTTTTATGAATACTATTTCCTGAATAAGATCTGGCTCACTTATACTTACCATTGAAGGAAGGTCACAGCATTTATCACGGCTAGTCCAAACAGCATTGCATACCATGTCAAAACTCTGGATTTCAAACTGTAAAACAAAGGAAATTTCTTTCATATTCTTTTATTCCTTGCAGCATTAATTAGAAAAGTTTCAAGAGAGAAGTAACCTAATATTAATATATTAAAGAATGAAGAGTCTACAGGATGCTCCATTTTGCACACAGTTAATATACTTCAACTTTACACAGCCATTTTTATAAGAATAAAAGAAAAAATGCCAAAAAATATAACGCTTTTCATTAATGCCAAGATTTACCTCAAGGACTAATGCTCCTGTTGACCTCCTGCTCCGTTCTGGAGCAAAAAGATAACTGAATACACAAATATTTCACAACACTTAATAAAGAATGCAGTTGCTACATCTGCTAAAGACTCAGATATCAACTTAGAATTTAGCCTAAGACTATCTGGACTAGCTTTAAGGACTGCAATCATTGGGTTGTACATAACCCAAATCCATGTGCAAAACTGACATCAGTGGAAATTTTT